GAGAATTATAGATGAAAATCAAAATCATTGTGTCTTATGTTCAAACCACATTAAAACAGGTTGCCACCTATTTTTTTGATTGCTACTATTCTGCAACAATGTAGAACCTGGTGATGGGTTGGTTAAACTTTAATTGGAGATCATGTTCCTGGGGTGGAATCATACATTGGTATAACTTCAGGTTGAAGAAGAAAGGATTCATTGAAAACTAGAAGAGAATGGCCCTTTCATCCTCAGTGTATCATCTTTGGCAGGAGAGAAATTTGAAGATTTTTTAGTCTAAAGCTCGTCAACCTGAAGTTTTTTTCCGAGCTATAAAGATATCAATGCTTTTAAAAATTTTGAATGAGAAGTGTCCGGTACATATAAGGGATAAAATTGAAAAACTGTAAAGGAGTTTCTCTCTAGATGAGTTACCAGGCTTAGTCTGGTTTTGATTGATGTACATAAAGTTTCATATTTGGTAAATGAATAAAAAAATTTCATTGACCATAAAAAAATTGGTTTAGGAATGCACCTTGAAGGCCTTAATGGGAATGTTGGTGAAGCCTTTGGACATGAATGCTGAAAATTGGAATGAATCCGATCTTAAGGCTTCGGGCATCATTGAAGCTTATTGAGCAGATCAAATCATGTATCAAATGATGTCAGAAATGATGACAAAGGGAGTATGGAAAAAGCTCAAAAGTATCTACATGATGAAGAGTTTGTTGAATAAGCTTTACATCAAGAAGAAACTCTATAAGCTTCAAATGACGGAAGGTTCGCCCCTTATGAATAACCTATACATTTGATTATCAAGTTTTATCATGTTTTTATACTCATATTTTAAATAGGTTTCATGTAAATAAATAAGTTTCATGCAACTCGACAAGTTTATAGGGGATCTCTTATGTTTGGAATTTGATTATTAAGTTTTATTATATTTTTATACTCATATTTTAAATAAGTTTTATGGAAATAAATAATTAATAATATATTTTTATAATATTTTGTAGGAAAAATAATGAAAACAAAATAAGAGCTCAAATGAAGATTATTTGAAGCCCAAAAGATCTCCAATTGAAGCCCAAAAAATCCAAGAGGACTAACTCTAAAGAGCCTAAACACATCCCGTAGGGTATCTATGCTAGTATCAATACTACTATTGTGTCGATAGTAGTATCAATCATCAATACTACTATTAATAGTGGTAACGATACTACTATTGTGTCGATAGTAGTATCAATCATCAATACTACTATTAATAGTGGTAACGATACTATATTGATATTAGTTTTTATACTAATTCAATATAAGTGCCGACACCAGTATTGATACCCAATCAACAAAAATAAATCAAATACTGAAATTGTATTTCTTAGGGGGGCCAAGTTTGATCCAATGGCTCATACTGGAATATGTAATCTATATATAGGGGGTAGAGAGTGAGGGTTAGGGATGTGAAAAATTTTGTAAATTTTCTTTTGGAGATAGAAGGGTTACTCGTGGAAAATACCTTCCAAATATTGTAAAATTTTAATTTTTATACTAAAAATAAAACTATTTTTTTCTCTTCAAATTTCTTCTTCTTCTTTTCTACTAATGAAGACTTGAAGATTTTTCTTTGGTATATTCAAGGGACCAACCCCTTGCAATAGGAGTTTTATTTTTCTCTTTTTATTTCTTATTTAGAAATGCATATTTAGGGTTTAATTTCTTACTTAGAATTCATGTTAAGATTTTATGCTTTGTAATTTACGATTTTCCTATTTTTTATTCTTATTTTCTAGAAGTAATACGAATAGCTAATTTTCTTAAGATATCTAAGATTAGATGAAACTAATTTAACTTTCATTTGGTTTTTAAATTGCTCTTGTTTTGTGCTTAATTGATCTTGCTTATGATTATCAACTAGAATAATAATTGATAGAAAAAAAATTGATTTGCTATACTTACCTTAAATAGTCTGATAGTTTATGATTTTCAATCTAGAACTACTATCTAGTTGTTTATTTCCATTCATGAATATGGTAGTGTTGCTTAGATATGAATTTAATAGGTTATGTCTGTTTTAAATAACTTGATAATCTATTCTAAAGAAATCTAGTGATATAAGAATTAAAAAAAGTAGTTCTAAAATCTAAATAGAAATTAACTAGCGGATTCAATCCAAGATTTCTAGTTTCATAACTAGATTTTCTTTAACAATTATGTTTGCTTTCCTCTTTTAGTTTTACTCTCCTTCTTATTATAGCTCTTTTATTTGCAGTAGCTCAACACCCAAACTAATCTTTATTCTCTCTTTTCTACCACAATTCAAGAACCACTATAGGATCCGTCTTAGATCATTTTTTCCTCATGGGATCAACACTTTCATGCTACACACATGTAAGTACATGTTTATAATTAGAATAAATTTGAAGTATATTTAGAGGAAGAAGATAATGCACTTATCCTTCTCGCATTGCTCCCAGATTCATATGAACACTTGGTGGAAACAATCATGTATCAAAGATATACCCTCAATATGGAGGAGGTAAGGGCTACTCTTCTAAGTAATGAGATTATGAAGTAGTCCAAAACAGGTGAGAATACTTCTTCTTCTGCAAATATTGCATGATGAATAAGCAACATACAAATATATGATACTGTTCAATTAAATATTTTTCCATTATTCATTTTATTATGATGATATTGTCCTTGTTTGTATATATGTATTGAAGAACGATTGGACTGTAATGTTATTAAGTTATCAATTTTTAAGAAAGTTTGCGTAATTGTTATGCTTATGATTGTGGTTTGCAAGTGAGTTGGGTGGTGTGAGGTATGGCTTGGGTGTGGATCTAAGGATGTATTTATTTATACCCCTGATTCGAATCTTAATGAATTTAAAAGAAAACATAAAATAAGAGGTATCCGTTATTTATACCCTAGATTGGAATTATTATAATAATGTATTTATTCAATTAACAAATTTTCCACTATTCATTCTCCTATAATAATATTGTTCTTATTTGTATAATATGTAATACATGCAGAATTAGATTGTAACATCTTAAATTATCAATTTTTAAGATTTTTTGCGTAATTGTTATGCTTATGATTGTGGTTTGCATTTGGGTTGCGTGGTGTTGGTTATGGATTGGGTGTGGGTTTGGGTTATATTAATTTATACCCCTCATTCAGATCATAATGAACTTGAAAGAAAAAGTAAAATTAGAGGTAGTCATTATTTATATCCCTAATTGGAATTATTATAATAATATGTTTTTAATTAAGTATTTTTTTCATCGTCCATTGTACTATAATAATACTATTTTATTTATATGTATGTATCTATGGATAATTAGATTGTAATGTTATTAAATTATCAGTTTTGAAGAAAATTTGCATAGTTGTTGTGTTGATGGTTGTGGTTTGCATTTGGGTTGGATGGTGTGAGGTATGAGAGGGGTGTGACCGTGTGAGCCTAGGGGGTATTTATTTACACCCAACGATTCTAATCATAATGAATTTGAAAGAAAACATAAAATAAGAGGTTTTCATTATTTATACGACTAATTGGAATTAGTATGATAATGCATTTGTTCACTTAAGTATCTTTCCCATTATTCATTATACTATGATAATTTGTTCTTAGTTGTATGTATGTATCCATAAATGATTAGACTGTAATGTTCTTCAATTACCAATTTTTAAGAAATTTTGCATGATTGTTATGCTTATTGCTATGTGTTGAGTCGAGTGTGGAGTTCAAACCTCCGCAGGTGCCCTGGCGATGAATTCGACGCAGGCGAAGTTGGGAGGCAGAACTTTGAGCAGGCGAAGCTCTTGAACAGGCGGGTCGAGCTCCAGGCGAATTGACTCTACGTTCAGATAACGGTGGAGAGTACAAGAGTGATCCGTTTCTGCAGTTTTGCCGGGATCACGGCATTAGAAGACACTTCACAGTTCGAGAGACACCGCAACAGAACGGGGTGGCTGAGAGATTGAACCATACCTTGCTGGAGAAGGTGCGGTATATGATGACGCAGAGTGGATTGCCTAGACCTTTTTGGGCCGAGGCGTTGGTTTATGCGAGCCATCTTGTGAACAGGTTGCCGTGCACTGCGATAGACGGCGAAGTTGGGAGGCAGAACTTTGAGCAGGCGAAGCTCTTGAACAGGCGGGTCGAGCTCCAGGCGAATTGCCGGCGAGCTCGAGGAAATCCGCGGGCGAGTTCGAGCGAATGGCTACAGGCGAAATTGGGCGTAGCAGCAGGCGAGCTCGTGGATCTCGTGCAGGCGACCTCGTGTAGGCGAGATCGTGGTCGAACCGCTACAGGTGAGGTTGAAATCCAGGCTGTCGACAGCATGTCGACAGCCCAGCTAGGGTTTCCTATAAAAGGGAAACCCTAGGGCTCGAGCAACAGTGCTTTTTCTCCCTTTCTCTCGTGATCAAAATCCCTAGGCGGCGACGGTTCATCCCCTCCCTCTCCAACGATCTCTCTCTCATTCTCTCTGTTCTCGCGTGATTGAGAAAGAGATTTAAGAGGAGGAATTTACTGTAAAGGAATTAAAGAGGGGTATTTAAAGAGAGGGGTACTGTAGCTACAGTATTAGCCTTGGTATTTATTGAGGAATCTCAGTTTGAGATTCGCTCTGAATTGTAATTTCTTGTTAGATTAATAAGAAACTGATTGTGTGGCTCCCGAGGACGTAGGCAGTTGCCGAACCTCGTTAAAACTTGGTGTACTTTTTCTATTCTGCGTTTCTGCTGTCTTAGGGGTTTCGGTGTTAAATTCCCAACACTATGATGTTGCATTCGGGATAGATGGCATGGGGTATGGGTTGGGTGGGGGGATGTTTTTATTTATACCCCTGATTCCAATCATAATGAATTTGAAAAAAAAAACATAAAGTAAGAGGTATTCGTTATTTATACCTGTAGTTGGAATTATTATAATAATGCATCTGTTCAATTAAGTTTTTTTTTCCCGTTATTCATTGTACTATAATAATACTATTCTTTTTTTTAAGGTTCAATGAAGATTAAGTAGTGTTAGAATCCAAAAAATATGCTACGTGATCAAGTAGATAGATTTAAGGCTTATTTGCTGGAGATGAATTGCTGTGCTCATGATCCTATCAAGAGGTATACTATTTTCCTTCGACCATTAATTCTTATGCACTTATATCTAAATACTTCTTTTCTTTGTGCTTGGGGTATAGGTTGTTTTGTATGCATAAATATATATGTACATTTGATGTTGTTATGACATATTGCTGACTTGCGTAATTTATAAGGGGTGGCCAAATCCATATTATTTGCTTTTATTAAAATTTATGATCAGTTACGTCTTTATTTTTTGTGCATATAGTTGGGGGAAAAAATTTTGTTTTATTGTGTCATGTTTAGTACATTAAGAATATTTAACAGACTTTAATTTTTATTTTAAACACATTATATAGGATTTAATTTTGAATTAAATCATAGATAATTATAATTCGAGAAAAGGTGCATGTGGAAATATATATAGGAAAACGTTTGACATTAAATTGATTCAAAAAGGGCTGAACATGGTCTCCTTTAAGAAACTTTTAATTCAATTATTTTTAGTCTCATCGAGAACATGATTTTATAGTTGTTTAATCTATCTAATCTAATACTTTCATAAAAGCGGGTTGCCATGTTAAAACATTTCTACCCCAAATGTCCTCAAACAAATGCACATATATATACATGATCACATAAATATACTCAATATAATGTGATAATTAACCCCTACTACACATCCATCCATACAGACATGAACACACATACAATTATCCATTTAAATTCTCTATCAACCCCATTAAACACCCATCACTATTGTAACCTCCACACTTATTATTCCTACCGAAAACACATCATTTATTCATTTAATCATCACCATAATGTCACCACTACTCCCCTTAATGTCCCATTAATCTAAAATTTAATCGTACAACCCTTGAGCTTCTATAATCTGTAACACCCATTCTCCTCTCCTATATACCTACTACCTTAAACCCAAAGCTCCATTCCTACCCTAATTCCTACCTCTAATGACTAATATCTTCAATCTTTTACCTTAATTCTTCTCTTCTATATAGGCGCAACATTGACATCAGTCAAATGCCTAATAGAAAATGTTCTTACTTTTTAGGGTTTTCATTACCCATATCCGTGATGCCTAATAGAAAATATGCTTAGGGTTGTCATTATCCACATCCATGTCGCCTAATAAAAACAACCTTAGAGGTCACCATTAGCCACATCAATGACGCCGCCAACTAAAGCGCCATCCTCCACATCAACAAATCTGTCAAATAAAACATTGGGCAAATTGGTTAGTAGAGCTGACAACAAACGCGATATCAACAGAAGCGACTATGGCGGTAATTGGGGAGGAGAGGTATCCATCTTGGTTATTGATGGGCATGAGGAGACTATTGTTGTTGGATCTGGTGCATATGAAATCTACCATTGCAATGATTAAAGATGGGAATGTGCATGCAGTTCAAGAGTATTAACAAGGGACTTGTCGTGTTGTCGATGAATAATAAGAAATATTTTGCGTTGTATATGAATATACATTTTTCATGTTTCTCCATATTTGACACACATAAAATGTAGTTGCATGCTAATTTGATCCATATTATACTTAAAAATCTTTGTTTACAAAAGAACTCGATAAATGCATGACTTGAATTATTTTTGTATGTGGAAATGGTTGTATTCTAAATCATGCAGAATGAGAATTCAAATCTTACAAATGGAAGTTTATTTTGGTAATGACCTTGAACTTACTACACATATTATCTAGAAAATATTGGATCATTCATTGCTATAATTAAGGAGTCTTCTTAATGATCAACTATAAACCAATCCAGTAGGAGAAACCACCAAATTCATAAGATCTCTGTTACGGATTCATGAGAACAGATGTGGTTGCACTTACCATCTACCTCTTCTCCCTCTCCCTCTCCCTCTTTGTTTCATGTGAACAGAGATAGAAGACATGGTTGAAGGATACTTATAACAACCCTCTCCCTCTCCCTCTTTGTTTCATGTGAACAGAGATAGAAGACATGGTTGAAGGATACTTATAACAACCCATTTGTTCAAAAACAATAATAAAAATGAACAGAGATAGAAGACATGGTTGAAGGATACTTATAACAACCCATTTGTTCAAAAACAATAATAAAAATAATGTACTCCTTAAAATATTTCATATTACTATAAGGCCGCTAACTTCATACTTACTTTGAAATTAGTCTCTCAAATTAGTAAAACTCCTATTATGACACCTAATTCTTAAATTATTTTTAAATTCATCCATCCAATAAAGAGTAGATGTACATTCGAGCAATTAATTTGAAATAACTTGTGAGAATTAGGGGATTTAATAACAATTTCAACGATTTTAGTAGTTAATTTTAGAGTAAATAAAAAATAAGAAGATCTAAAATTGATTTTAATGATTTGAGGAGCTTATTGCAAAACATGAAAGATTTAAGAGACTAATATATAAAACCTATAATATACCAATAAAATAATATGAACTAAGCCCATTTATAATGTAAAAAAGATTAGCAAAAAAAAAGGAAAGACAAAGAATTCATATATCTCATCTACGAAAGTGGTCTAAGATAATTAGAGTCTCTCTAATAACTACTTATTATTTATTGTATAGGATCCAAACTGTAAGTAAATACTCACGAAAATATGACACATTACTTAGAATATTATTTTTTTTGCTTTGAAACAAAACTATCTACGTGCAACGTACATATATTATACTAGTACTATTATAAAAGTGGATTGGGATGTTAAAACATGTCTTCCAAAAATGTCTTTTAAAACATATACATACATACATAGAATACATACATCCATATATAAAGCATAGCATAACCCCCAATTAAATGCATACTCATAATACATAAAATACATGCATCCATACATAAATCATAGCATAAGCCCCAATTAAATGCATACTCATAAATAAAAAAAACTTATGTAATCAATTGATTAAATAATAAAGCACTATATTATTAAGTACATGCTAACTGCCAAGAACTTCATGATCTCTTCTCTATATGCAACTGGTATTATATGGGTAATATTATATGCAAGATTCTTTATTAATTGGTCATTATTTTCTTCACAACTTAAAGCACAATGAATTATCAACTGCCAAAAATATCCAGTAGTTCTCTCTTTTTCAGTCCCTTCATCTTCATTATGATATCCAGTAGCTCTCTCTTTTTCATTCCCTTCATCTTCATCATAATGAAGCATTTATATTTTCTCTCCCATTACAATATATATGTATGTATATATATATATATATATATATATATATATATATAGAGAGGAGAGAGAGGAGAGCGAGATTAATGGGTATCCTTGTTATGAGCGGAGATTTCCTCATTGACGCCTCTAAAAATCACATGATGAGCGACATTGTGCATGATCCGCTCCGTTGAACTTGATCTACATATTCTAAAACCCAACACACCAAGTTTGGGGTGAACCCGTCGTCGTTTGACCCTTCATCCACTCGTATCAATTTAACGGTTTTGAATGAATAGAACTTTCACATGGCTCGATGGAGGTGTCAAACGACGACGGATTCACCCCAAACTTGGTGTGTTGGGGTTTTAGAATATGTAGATCAAGTTTAACGCGGAGCGGATCATCCATAATGTCGCTCAATCATGTGATTTTAGAGGCCGTGCAAGGAGGAAATCCCCTCCTATGACAAGGATACCCATTAATCTCATATATATATATATATATATATATATATATATATATATATATATATATATATATATATATATATATATAATATAATCTAATACTATTATAAAAGTAGATTAGGATGTTAAAACATTTCTTCCAAAAAAACCCTTTAAAATATATACATACATACATAAAATACATTCATCCATGCATCCATACATAAATCATAGCATAACCCCCAATTAAATTCATACTCATAACTCCCAAATTATTTTATTTTAAAAGTTATAATTGTGGTATAAATGGTTTTTATTTTATGGTAATCACAATATTTAAATAGAACGGTTATAATAATAATAATAAATTAAAACTCGAAACAAATGCACTTTTAATTATGTACTAAATGCTGTTTACACTTTTAACCTCCCATCATCAAATTCAGTTATGATAATAGCAAAAGGAAGGAAAGAAAGTAAGAAACTAAAAATTAAGTTTGCATGATCATTTCTTATTTCCACCTCACACAATTTGAAAGCATAAAGAGCACTGTAATGATCTGTAAATTATTTACTATTCAAGTAAGCTTGAAAACCTTATGTTAGAGGATTTATATTGTGCGATTCTTCAACAGGATCGCGTTTGATTTTCCTCAATAGAGGAATTTAAGGTGAAGACACAATGGTTAAAGCACAAAAGACATTAATAATTTACCTTCTCAAGTAACGTACGACACTATTAATCTTCTTTAACTCCTCATTCAAATCAAAACCCTCTTCATCTCCTCTGTATCGTAACCTCTACATTCAACAATATATAACTCCCCCATCCATGCCTCCTCAACAATCCATTCACCATAACAAAGAGTACTGATATCTCTCATGTAAAACATATATAGCTTGCCGAAACAATCTATCATTTTCGCGCCGACAAACCCAGCTATTTTTTAATTTCACGTATTGACTAACCTTGGTGACAACAGTCTTGTAGACTATTAGAGCGAGATGATGTAGCTCCAACATCGGTGCTCTAGTAAGATCGTATTATTCTTCGTCAATGATGAATAGCACATGGCCTCGACTACAAATGATAAGCTTGCTTCATCTCATTTTTATTTTTAGTTTTTGTACACAGTTATCTATGCTTACTGCAAGATTTCTATGCTATTATACTTTGTATCATAGTTAAAAAGGAAAAAAGTTTCCCTCCATTCGTAATTCACTTAATTTGTTGTGATTGGTATTGCTGAAAGTTACAATAACCAGATTTGAGAAATTGATAAACAGGTGACTGGGCTTAAAGTTTCGTAAACATCAGTCAAAGTTCATATTATAAGGCCATTAAACTGTTACTTTCCTCCTCTGTGCTTACACATGAAAGTGGTTACACGTGCATCGCATGTGCGCTATATATATTGATTGTTGCCCATTTTCATTTACAAACTAGAAACTAAGAGAAAGATCATTGTAACTTGGTGGAGATAAGACTCATATATAAGGCCCCATTTTATTGATTGGTTCATCTACAAACTAGAAACCAAGAAGACTCATGGTGGAGATAAGAGAAAGCTCGTTGCCCATTTTCATTTTGCAAGAAAAAAATGTAAAAAATGTGTACTTGGTCTTGATTTAATTTGTAAATAAGATTTATACGGTTAATATGTAATTAAGATTTATAGAACGATGTGAATGCTTAATTTGTGGAGCAAAATTTAGGGTTGTGTGGTCTAAGGTTAACTTCATGAAGATTCACTGGAGAAAGTATTGCTATTTGCAGACGGTGATAAGATTCAATCGACAAACAAAGAAACTGAATGAGGAAGAAGACTGAGATGTTATGCTCGAATTTTTTTTTATCATTTTAAATGGGGTTAATGTAATTTTACCCACATTATGTTAATATTTTAATAGTCCTTAAATTAGGGGGCAAAAGTGAAGTTAATTAACAATACCACTTATTTAGATGGAAAGTCAGTTTTATCATGTTCAACGAGAGAAGCTGTATCATTAGAAATTGAACTAAAGGTTATGAGTACTCATAAATTAGTTTGGAAATGATAACTGCACTAAATAGATAAATGATGTGGTAATCTGCAAGTTGTCTAAGAACATATGGCTTTTATATTTTTTAAGTTTTCAATAGATTGGTATGGTTTTTCTCAATAAACATGACATGTGATTACTTTCCTTGAGAGATCTAGCTTAATCTGCACCATGATGAAATATCACTATTTATATTAAGCCACTTTTAAACAAAAAAGATTAGTTTTAATACTAAATAATTTATATCTTCAAAATTCAGTACAAATTTACTTTGAAGTTCAGATATTTTAGAAATATTTTTTTAGGAGCTTTAGTTTCAAGAAAATTTAGGTTCCCCTAAGTCCGAAAAAAGTTATTTTGAAGTGTAGAAAATAAAATATAAATATAATTATCAAAAAATATTATCAATTACACCCTATTTATAAAAAAAATCTGTTCCAAAAAATAAAGAATATTTAGAATAAAAAATTGTCATTTATTCATGTTCTCCATAATTTTTATTTTAAGACTAAAATTTTATAAATTCAAGAAAAATTACCTTGAAGATCAAACTCTTATATCTCATTTGGTACACGGGAATGAAGTCAAGTGAGAATAGAAAGAATATAGGAATGGAATGGAATAGATGTGAGAACGGAATGCACATTCTCATTCTCATGTTTGGACGCGTTTAGATAATAAAACGGGAATGACAATCTTATTCTTATTCTCATGTTTGGTATCATTTGTTCACAAGTGAGAATAAAATTTAGTTTTCTAATAACGCCCTTACCAAAACACAAAATTTTAAAAAAATTAAAAATATTTTAAAAATGACTAAATAATTTAATTTTTTAGAAAAATAAGTTTTATAGAAATGATATTTTATCCTTAGAGAAATAAATTTTCATGTAATAGTTATATTTTGGCACATCGTTTCAGCAACAATTTTAGACTTTTGGCTTACAAATTGGAAAATAATTTTCATAGAAATTATTTTTAATTAAAAATAATTATAATTTTATTTTTCTAACTTCTAGCGCTACATGTTTATTATTTGTACGAGCAACTAATGTTACTAACCTCATTGTGCGTTAATGAAGAGAAGAATATCTTATAAGAGATCTTGCATATAATTAGGCACTCTTCACAACATTTCCTAATAAAAAAAATTAAGATTTCATGTTCGGGGGGAAAAATAAAGGGAAAAAAGTGCAATTTCTCATCCATATGTTAAAATTAATATAAACGATAGTATCTATAGTTTAAAATTTTATATGCATAAACTATCACATTCGACAAATTATAAACGATAGTATCTATAGTTTAAAATTTTATATGCATAAACTATCACATTCGACAAATTATTAGAAATATCCAAATTCTAATCAAAATTCGACAAATTATTAGAAATATCCAAATTCTAATCAAAATATCCATAAAATAGTACGAGCAAAATAATTTGACAACCATCAAAGTATCAAAATATTAAGTTTTGAAATTGCAAAATGATAAACTAGTTTGTCACTCCACACTCGTAGAAATCTGTGTATTCTAGACGGAATATCCTAGACGGATTTTTTTCCGTCTAGGATGTAACATTCTAGACGGAAAAAATTTCGTCTAGAAAATTCCGTCTAGGATGTAATATCCTAGACGGAATTTCCGTCTAGGATAGTATCCTAGACGGATATTAAAACTATTTTTTAATTCATTTATGGTCCCGCTATTCTAGACATAAATTTTCGTCTAGAAAAGCTTCCTAGACGGAAAATAAAAATTAAATTTACTTTCCGCGGCTTCAGATTTGGAAATCCCGCGCCTCCAAAAAATTCCCCCTTATTATATATCAACGGACGCTTTCGAGTTGATTCGGGCACATCAGGTGCGAATTTGGAGGAAATCGATGATGAATTCGCTTGATTTAGGATGAATTCCTGACATGATTTGTTTTTTTTAAGGCGGCAACAGCTCGACTTTCACTGGTTGATGAGGTCCGAACTTTGCTTGATCAGAGTGTTCGAGGAGTGCTCTCCACGTTTTCTCAGGTACTCGTGTTGATGATGCTTTCCTACTAAAAAGTTTTGCATTCAGTCGTAGCAAATATTTAAAGGTGATGTGAGTTCTTGAGATTCTAGCTTGATTCATAATGTTGCAATTGTAGTTTCCGTACAAGCTACCTAATTTGGTGCTTAGTACTATGGAATTTGGGCCATCATCACTGTCATCTCCTCTGCGTTAGTTATGTATGGGCTCCCAGGATGTTGGTGGTTTTTCATAGCTGATATTCCTTAAATAACTCTTTTTTCTTAAAGAATATTTGAAGAAATCACTTCTCTTGCATGTTGGATGGGTGAGTGATAATTGCACCATATAAAAAACAAGATTAGCAAATTGATTGTATTTATGCGGATTTAGTATTTTGCTTGAGTAGAGGGAATAACATAGTTATAAGATATAGAGGGAAGGTTAATTTAGGATAGTGAGAAAATTTCTTTCATTACATAAACCTCATCATAATTAAGGTGCCTCTCTAAATAATTACTTCTTTAAGATACGGGGGGAATTTTTTTTTTTTTTTATGATGGTGAGAAAATTTCTTCCTTTTAATAAACCTTATCATAATTGGGGTGCCTTTCAAAATAATTACTCCTTCAGATTTACTTTCCAGGGTATCTTTGCATACACTGTGATTCTTTTGCTTAGGGAATATGTAATGCATATAGCATGTGAAAATTTTGTTAATTTAATATATGAAACCTGGATATATTGGTTTATATAGATGTATTGAGTTTATGCATAAAATGTTGTTAATTTAATTTTGCTTAGGGAACATGTAATACATATAGTACTATCTGAGGTCTTCTTTATGTTTTAATCTTGTTGAAGAATTCAAATGTTATTTGAAATATAGTACAGTCTCACTTCTTTCTTCTTTTTACACATTCTCTTTGGAACAATTCACATTAATAGCTAATTGGGAGTTTTTTTTGTCTTGAGCAGGATCTGCTGGGTAATCCAAGATGCTCTTTGCTTGTTGCAAGGGATCCCGAAGATAGAACTGATACTCATTGCTTATGCATATACTCTTGCTGATGTAGGTAATGCTACCTCTGACAGCAAGAGGTACTTTGAGTATTGTTGTGGACTCATGGTTGAAATTCATTTGCTTAGTATTTATTGAGCATCTTGAATATGCATTTTTTTAATTTGTTCGCTATTTGATTCTGAGATCAATCACATGCCTAATTTTAGAGACATTTTGATGTCATTTGTCATGCTTTCTCTCACAAACAAGCAACAGATAGTCTTTGGCTTATTATAATGCTTAGTTCTAGTTGACCTCTCTCTTTTGCAGTAAAAGTATTATAGTGGCATTTTCTTTTCTATTCATTTTATTTACTAAACTAACTGTGTACAACTGAATTCTTTTGCCCCATAATCTGACACTTAGTACCTGGGACGCTTGTGCTCAATATGCTAGGTTTTCGATAGTGACAGAGAGGGCATACGTACTGCATACTTAAAAATGTATAATCTAGGATTTCTTCTCTTGCTACCTGTTGCGGGACGAGGTTAGAAGTTTAGTTAATTTGATTTAGTTTCCAATTTTGCCAGCAGAAATATGGTAATTTAGTTCTTTTTTAATCCATAAGTGGGATGCTTAAACATATCAATGAAGTAATGAGCTCATCTCTTGTCTGTGGATGGACTGAAAATGGGAAATTTGTTTTCAATTCCTTTCCCTTGTAGAAGGCTGTAGCCTGTGGATAATAACTCTACTTCAGAAAGATTTAGTGAAATTTACCCAAATGATTATGACTAATTATGGAGAATATGTGGTATGAAATCCTGTTAAAGGCAATATACTTGATTATCAGAATAATATCATTTGGAATCCTCGAGATGACTTATGGGCTGTCAGGTTGTCATAACCCTTTCTCAGGAGGTTGGGCAAGCATATTATTATAATAAGTGATTAGTTAATCTACATATCTTTTAGGCTTTTATGTATGTGTACGTTAGCTTTGCTGCAAGTTAATGGACTTTTGCTAGTGTTTAAGAATTTTTTTTCATGTTATGTGTTGTTCATGTCTGTTTTTGTTTTGTTGTTCTGAACTTAGAAACAGAATTTGAGAAAGTCTGTTGATTCCTTAAATCTTTAAGAAAAAGCCTGTTGACCAAGACATGTATACTTGATGCGAATAAAGAAGAGTCATAAATGGTTACCTGTCTTAAGTAGTTTAACGTCGTTTCTTATTTACTCATTAAGATGTGCACGTTTTGTTCGTTCCATAAAACAAGGTTCGTGTATGATATTTAACTGAATTGTGAGTATTTGTATTGTACTGACGGCAGAGACTGGGGTTAGTTATGTTGTAACATCATGAAAGATTAGAAGCATAAAGCTTGATTGTGCAGGCGACATTAATTTGATGTACTGATATTAATAGACTACTGGAAGTATTAAGTTTCTGTTTGTTTTTAGAACATTATGAGCAGCTTCAAAGAGCTTTTCTCAAGGGAAACAAAAATATGTCTTGCTACTTCCTATCTGTTTGATTTGTGATTCTTGAATAAAATATTTGATGAATCTGATGAGGCGTATGCATAAATGCTATACAGGTCAAGTGGTTCTTTCTGTACTTCAATGTGATTTGCTGTAATTTTGACACCTTCATGATGATTAAGGTTCTCATTAGATTAAATTATTGAGATGTTGCACCTCCACTAAGCTTCTTTTTTTCCAGGTTGTCATTCAAGTTGCTTGGCAACTTATTTTATTCTGGTGAGTCAGCTTCAAATTCCTTCATGTTACGCTTTTGAACTATGTTGTGTTTGTATCTCCTTCCATACTTCCATCTGAATTATGCAATAGTAATTTTTTTAATCCTATTGTATCTCCTTCCAGGTCTACCTCGGCCTCGACATCTGAGATCATCAACTCCGATACATTTATGTGTTTTAGTTTGTACATATATTGATGCATTGCTTGTGTCCTTATGTTACACTCAGGATGACGAGGAAGAAGGTGAAGAAGGAGAAGAAGAGAGCTTGAGTAAATGTATAGGGAATGAGTTGAAGAAGCTTCTGCAGTGTCATAGCCATTGTAAATAATTTATGTAAAGTTTGTAAACAATTTATGTATCTTTCTACTATTTTGGTGAATGTATTATTTGAATATAATTAGACTTGATGTTAGAATATAATTTAATTATGTTGGATATGAATATAATTTTGTTGTTGTTCAATATTGTGTACATGCACTCAAAGTAGATTCTGCAAAAAAAAAAAAAACTGTAGCATAGCATCCTAGACGGAAATTCCGTCTAGGATGCTTATTTTTTTAAGAAAAATTAAAAAAATTAAAAAAACATCCTAGACGGAAATTTTCGTCTAGGATACTCATCCTAGATGAAAATATTTTCTATTTAGGATGTAATATTCTAGACGGAAACTTTATCTAGGATAATCCGTCTAGGATGTATTCTAGACGGTTTTGAATTCCGTCTAGAATAATCCGTTTAGGATGTATTCTAGATGGAATTTCCATCTAGAATACTACATCCTAGACAGAAACTTCCTAGACGCATATTCTAGATGGAATTTCGTCTAGGATAATCACCCTAGACGGAATTCTGATTTTCCTAGACAAAATTTTCCGTCTAGGATGCCTCGTTTTTTACTTGTGCCAGAGTATATCTAGTTTATTAAAAGATATTGGAACTAAGGCAATGTCCACGTTAATATACTTCTTAGGAACGAATGAACGATATCAGAGATTTATTAAAAAATAATATCACAATATATGCGTTAATATACTTCTTAGGAACGAATGAACGATATCAGAGATTTATTAAAAAATAATATCACAATATATTGGAACTATGGCAAGGTCAGTGATATAAGAGATTTATTAAAAAATAATATCACAATATATTGGAACTATGGCAAGGTCAGTGATATAAATTTACTTAGAAACGATGTTTGTATATTGGAACTTGGGCAAGTTATATTCATGCTTATGTTTATTTATATATTTGTACTAGTAGCTTAAGATAAGTTAATTTTTTATAAAAATAATTTTCATATGGGAATTGTACTAGTAGCTTAAGATAAGTTAATTTTTTATAAAAATAATTTTCATATGGGAATTTATATCTATTTGTATCTTTTAAGGAGGGTATAATTGGAATTTATTTGATTATTTTTATTCCCACTTAAGTGGGAATATCAATTCCTTGTTAAATGGTTGGGAATGACAATCCCCACATAAAGTGAGAATTGATAAGAAGTGGGAATTTCAATTCTAACATCTAAAAATACATCGTGTTTGTTACGCAGGAAAAAAGAGTTGGAATTGCATTCCATTCTTACTCATTCCCGCGTACCAAACGAGACGTTAAATTAATAGATTGCAATAGAGGTTTAGATTTAAGAGAGTTTAGTTTACCCCCTTAAATTCCACAACCTTTATTTAGAAATTCATAATATAGAGGTTTACAAAATAAACCATCTTTGCAAAATTTATCTACCCAATTCTTTTTTTAGAAAATTTGATATTTATCCCATTTACTTCTAGATAAAGAAAAGTTAGTAGTTACAAAACCTTACAATTTAGGCAAACTATTATAAATCCTAACCTCAAAACTAATAACTAAATTATACATGTTGATGTCCGTGAACACACAGTCAAGAGGGTTATAGTTCTGATCTTCGCGTTGGCGGTGAATAGGGAGAGGATGAGAGATGGGGTCGAATCATCTTCTGACTTTATGCCCGATCCTTAGGTTGGAATTCTTGATCTTTCTACACAAATAAGAAAAAACCCATGGGAGGGCGGGGCTCATTTCCCCTGTGGTACCTCCGACGGGCAAGTCAGCTAGTGAGCTTGAGTGGGGTTTGAGGGAGAGTCCCTAGGCCATTGAGGTCCTTATAGGGTACTCTTTGAGAGTTATCAGTTCTTTTTTAGCAAAGATAAATTCGGAGCTTTTTTAGAAGTAGCAGAAAAAATATATCATCCCCCTCGTTTACCTTCTTTCCTTCCTTTTATAGCCCATCGCCTCTTAGAGTTTGACCCTTGGCTTTGGCTATGGACAAGAGGCAGTTGAGGGGTGAGTAGACAAGTTGCTGAGTCATCATTCTTCTTCCAGATGTCGGCTGACGATTGGAAGAGAAGTCATTCGAGCACGGGAGAGAAATGTCTTCTCAGTATCCTGCATTTGACAGATGAGGCAGGGCAGAGAATAAGCTAGCTATTGTTGGCCTCTTTGTTTTGATGATGTTTAAACAAACAATTTACCACTAATGTTATTTGTCTAGTATTTGTGTTTATCTATTTATTGTAGACAAATAATATGTTGGAGGATGGATGGAATCAAGCTTTCATGATCATATCCAATGGAGGTTCGCGAAATAATATAGTGAAGCCTTACAATTCAAGTTGAAGATCCAAGTTCAAGCTTCATCCACAAGTGTACCAAGATAGAGCTTCGTTGAAGATCACAAGCTTGAGTATAATTAGTTTAGGAGTTTATATTATGTGTGTTAAGTACTGTAAGCTCAATATCATATACACACACATTTTATTGGTTTATATGTATATATATATATATAGTTATATATATACACATTTTGGCTTTTGGTTTATCCACAAACAAAGTTTTTACAAGCATATAAATAAATATTTATATACATACATATTTGTTTTTATGTAGATAAGTTGGTTTGGTTTAATTTCATAGATATGAAACAAATATATATTCATATACATACTCATATGTTTCATATTCTATTTTATTTGTGAAAATATTATATTCTTGGTTTTTAGACTTAACAATAATCATATACATCTTTTATTAAGTCTATAAAATTATTTTGTAATGTTTCAAAACATGGTTAAGCTAAAATGTCAAAACTCATGTGTTTACATTTTCATATTTTGGACTATTTTATAAAATAATGATATTTTTCATTTGGGAGGTCCTTTTTGAAAACCAGTTTTTGTAGCATGTTTATTATCATGTTTACAATCATTTCTCAAAGTTTTACATTTTTCTGATTTTATTTGCTATTTTTAAAAGAGGTTTGAAAATCAGATTTTTGTTTAAAACAGGCAGTGTGCATGTCTTGAGTCGACTCATGAATAGTGTTGAGTCGACTCATAAACTGTTGTGTAGTTTATATTTTGTTTCTGACAAGTTGACTCATAACATCATGAGTCGACCCATCAGATTGAGTCGACTCATGCCTGTCATAAGTCGACTCATGAACTGTGCTGGAAAATGTGTTTTGTTTCTACTGAGTCGACCCATGACTTCATGAGTCGACCCATGAATTTTATGAGTCAACCCATAAGTTAGTTTTTAGCCTGTAACAGATACTTATGAGTCGACTCATGAACAATACCAAGTCAACTCATAAACTGTGCTGGAAAATAAGTTTAATAAGGGTTTTAAAGTTTGTTTAGTGTGTTTTAAAAGAGTTTGTTTATGAAGAAGTTTCTCACAAGTAGAGGAGATCATCTACATTGTTTGAGCTTTATTTTAATCCATCTCTCCATCTTGTTTCTTCAGAGAAGAATTTCTAAACTCAATACTAGTTTTATATTAATTATTTGTTGTTTATCATTTTTATCAAGCTAGCACTTATATTGAGTTTATGATTGATTTTCTCATTGCTTACACACACAACCATTGAGCTTATTATATTTGCATACATTGTATAATTGGATTGTGGGGGAGTTGTAACAATTAAGAGTGAGCTTAATTGAGTTCTCATCTATTGTAGAGAACAAATTTGTATTTGTGAGCCTTAATTATGTAGATCACTTTGTAATATACTTGTACAACGAGAGGAGTGTGTGGTGAGAGACGGGGTCGTCCCAAGAGGAGTACAGTAGGTGGTAACCTAGAGAGAGGTTATAATTCCTAACACTTGAGGGAGACACGGACTAGAGACCAACACTTAAGAGGGTGTAAAGTGGGATTGCAAGAGTGTGAGATTGTAAAGTTTTCGGTAGCTAGAAAACCGAGTGTGAGGTGTAAACGTTATTCGGGTGAGTGTGAGGTGCAAAAAAAGAGTTACATCTCTCGAATGTGAGTTTTTAAGGGTCATTTTGAATTCATAATGAAAATTTGGACTGAGAGGTAGTTCATTGCAATAAAAATTCACTTTAAAGATAGAGTTTATGTACAAATTAAAATTAAAAAGTGGTTTCCATATAATTGCTATATTTTTAAAATGGTTTCTAGAAAAACCTTTTAGCTTATATAATCCCCAAACTATCTTTTTTTTTGCAAATAACCCCCTAAGTTTGAATAATAGCTAATTTATCAATACATTCTTTAACATTAAGAGTTAAATACCCTCTCATTTAACATCAATATATTTGAACTCACAAGAGATAAGTGATAAAATTAACCCTTGTTTTCCTCAAAAAGAAAAGGATTTTTTTACCTATATACCCTGGAATCTACCCTATTTATAGATTTATTTACCCTTTACATCTGAATATTTAATAATTTACATGTTAGAATTTAAATCGTGTTAATAAAAGGACTATAAAAATTCAAGAAAAAACAATAAACGGATAAATCAATTAACGAGTATACGGACTTGCAGATAATCAAATTTGCAAATTGGAAAGTTTTGTTGGTATATAGTCAAAGAGTTGGTCACAGAAAGACCCCTTTACCACTTTAAATTTTTCTCTTCTTCTCTTTATTGGATGATGAAGATGAAGATGAAGATGGAGAATTATTTGAAGGTTTGCATTTCTTTTCTTTTTCTCTTTTATTGCTTATTAGTTTAGATTTATTTCTATGTTTGTAGTTAGATTTTATTTTCTTGTTAAATAGCCAAGAGACTAGAACCCTCTTGCCTTAGATTTATTTCATGCTCATAGATTAGATTTATTTTATGCTTATAGAGTAGACATTAGATTTATTTTATGCTTATAGAGTAGATTTATTTTCTTGCATTTAATTCTTGCAATTTTATTTTGTGGTTTAGATTTTTACAATTTATTTTATAGTTAGATTTTTATTTCTTACACTATTCACCTTGAGGCTAGAACCCTCTTGGGTTTAGTTTTTCTTTTTGTTTATTTTTATTTTGTTTGATTCGCCTTTAGGCTAGAACCCTCTAGGGAATCACCTTTTTCTAAGAAGTGGGTTCAATTGTAGATTACCCATATCTATAATTGAATTCACCATCTTTAATTTCTTGCATTTTCTTTTATTCTAGAATTTTATTCTTCATTCTTGATTTTTTTATTTGTTTCTTGATTTTATTCATTTTTCCTTCTCACCTTATTGATCATACTCATTCTTTGTCAAATTCACTCCCACTTACACTTTGCACCTATTTACACACCATTTTTACTATCTCAATATCTTCACAATCACATTCACTCATCACTCCTATTTGTCACGCACACAAAATAAGAACCAATTTTATATTTCATAAGAACCAATTTTATATTTTCTCCTACAAAACACCTTCCTCGTGGGATCGATATCTTAAATACTACAACTTGACACGTCCTCGTGGGATCGATATCTTAAATACTACAACTTGACACGGTTGTGCACTTGCAACCTTTTTGGTACATAATTATACCGCATCAAGTTTTTGGACTCTCTAGTTTTATTTTGTAGATAAGCCCCGAGTTACACAATTTTGACTCTTACTCTTCGGCCGGGGTTCTATTTGCCAATAAAACAGCTTTCTCCTTCTCCTAGGATAAAAGAGTAAAGAATACAATTCAGTTATGGAGTAATTACCATCAGCCCCTTAACTTATTTTTAATTGCTAAGATGCCCCTAAGTGTCAGTATTTGCCAGAACCTCCTCCAAATCATCTTTGCCAATTCATCTGTACATTATGTTTTGTATTAGAATTTCTAACTACAGTCGGGATAAGCCTCCATCCAACGTGTAAACTAACTCCAATGCCCCTGAGATGTTAATCCCTCTCCCCAAACAACCGAAAAACCTTTATTTCCCCAATTTTTTATGGGCACTAAAAAATTTCAGATTGGGTTTGGGGGATTTTACTGTTGAAGAGAAGGGTTTGTTAAGTTGCTGATTGCAGAACAAACTCACTATAAACTGGGTGGATGTGACCTTAAACGTCAGTGTTAAATAGTGTAGGGTTGTAACGAAAATATCAGTACTTCGTTAGAATTAATCGAAGTTCACCCTCATCGTTAACGAGAGGAATGAATTAAAGATGATTTAAGGGGCTAAGACGCAATTACCTCTCCTTTTATATTTCAACGCTACCGTAGTTTTCCGAACTTTTTGTCGTGGAGAAATCTCTCTCGCTAAACCCTCGCTCTCTCCTTCCCATTTCAATTCCTTATGGATTCCGACATCGAAACCCCAACACCAGACAAATCAACGG